TAATAAATGAACTCCAATCATTTCTATAAATATCTCAATTAATTGGGTTGCAAAGGTTGTACAAATGCATAAGGTTGTAAAAGAAATATACCCTATATATATATATATATATATATATATATATATATATCGTCATACACATAGATCACCTTTTTATACTTGACACTTCAAAGCAAAACACTATAAAGATAACTTTCATAGTGTTTTTGCTTTGAAGGTTCACATTTGTTTTACTTTCACAATGTTTTGTTATGAAGTCTGAAATGTAAAAATATGGTCTCATGAAAACAGGATGGCCTCACGTGAACTCAACCCTATATATATAAACTTGAGAACATGTGGGACCAAATTGTTCTTGTGAAACCTGTGAGACCATTTTTTTACACTTGAAACTTCACAAATCTTTAGTGTTTTTGCTATGAAGATTTTTACCTTTACAATGTTTTGCTGTGAAGTTCAAGTGTAAAAACATAATCTCACGGGTCTTACGAAAACAAACTGGTCTCATGTGAACCAGCCCTATATATATATATATGCGAATGATCGTGTGAGAAGAAAAGTTATAGTGAGAATCATATGAAAAAAGATATGAACCCTTGATCACTTTTATTCTCAAGGCCACCCATGAATTGATCTTTAGAAGCAAATTGATTCGGTGCATCTCATTAGTATTGACATTCAATTAGAATTGATCCAATGATAAAGATCTATTCTTACGCTTCTCACTGGAACCCAAATTAAATTATAATTCACTTAAAACAATGTCACTATACGTTGAATTTTCATAACAACTTAGGAATTTGTTAAAGAGATACAAGACAAAAGTTGGAGAATTGAATAATTAAAATGCCACAAGACTCTTAAGTCTTTCAAATTTGTATTTAGTGTATGTTTTCTTTTTCCACATTATTGATAGCTTTTGCTTTTAAAATAAAGTAAGAATAAATTTAGAAACATATTAGTAGATTCAAATAAAGTAAAACGACTTATGAGACTACATTGACTAGCAGAGGACCAGGACCCGCTTGATTTTCCAAAAATATTGTTGTTTTATTGTCTATACTCAACAACCATGTGATCATATTTTTTCCCATTTTGACCCCTTTTTTTGGTCTGATTTATCTTCTATTCACTATATATAAGTCATATAGTGTACGAGGGAAGATACCAACTCACAACGGTTCACAATTCTTGTTATGATTCGTGATTTCGACTCGTATTCTAGCAAAAAACGTATTTTTCAAGTGTATTTAATTAAACCAATTACATATTTTCAACTGTATTAGAATAACACTTTTGTATTCTTTAAAAAAACTTCAAAAAAGAAAATTATGTAAAAAACGATTATTTTTCTAAAAACACATAGGACATATTTGGGCCCGGCTGGGACCGGTCCTCATAACCGGTTATAAAATACCTTAACCGAGCCTTGGGTTTTTGGTTGGGACCGGGACCGGGACTGAGGCAAAGATCAGTTACGCCAAGACCGGTTATGGGAATATTGTTTGGGACCAATACCGATTTGAGCCCGGCTCGGGTTCAAATCTCTACATAGAAGTGACACAATATAAGGACAAACTATGAAAGACATATAACTTTGAATTGGACCAAAACCTTCTATGACTTTTTAAAAGTCTTGAACGTTACAAATACACTTAATAATATATAAAAAACAACTTTTATATCGTTATTACTAAGTAATTTTATGCTGAACTTCATGAATGTTCCAATTGCCACATGGGTATAAATAGTTATAACTAAGAGTTCAATTTATCTTACGTGAATATCAAATTGTAAAAGTATTTGAACCAAAATGAAACTGAATTGATCAATTTCGGTTCAATTCATGGCTTACATCTTTTTAAATGGTCCAAAGAGTCCCGAGCCTTGGCATTGTTTATTGATTGGATGATTTTTTTTTCCATATTGTGATTTATTTTGGTCAAATTATGTAACATAAATCCAGAAAGCAAACAAATTGACCCAAATAAAGTAGTCATTCATCATAATATATACGGGATTTGAGTTTTTATGCTTAATGTTGCCTCAAATATCAAAATTATATATACTCAATGTTACCACTGATATATGCTTAGCTTTTATATCCTCCCCAAAATACAGTTCAAACTCATTATAAAGTATGCTTAATGAGTCTCATTGAAACTTCCACATGTAATCCATCTCGATATTCCCGACACCATTTTGATGGCACCTTGCGATGGATGGATATTGTTGTGTTTCAATTGATTTCATCTGTTATTTTAATAGAGAAGGTGAGGGGAGGACATGAGGATACATGATTGACGATTACCTTATATAGATGGAGAGTGAATGTGCAAAGTTAGTTTATGGGAACATAATTTTAATAGTATCATATAGAAACAAAAGAATCGAGATCATATCGGATGGATCAAATCCTTTGAAACCCATCAAATCCGTGGCATAATACCTTAAGAACTTGAGACCATTCATAATGCCTTACAATGGACTCGTTTTGTTTTTCTTGGATTCTTACCCACTTTAGTACTAGCTCTGTTAGGGCTTTGAAGACAATCTTGCAATGCAAAACTATGATATGTCGTTCTAATAGAATGCGTTTTGTATGTGGAACAAAACGAGACAAAAGAAAAGAGGTATTAAAATGAAAAGAACCGTAACAACTAGACGACATGATTAGGGATGTTAAGAAAAACCGAAAAACTGAGAAATCGTTTGATTTAAAACCAAAAAAGCTGAACCATGTGTGGCCAGACTGGGCCTGGACTTCTATACAACCGATATGGGCCTGGGCTCCTCAACTAAAGTCCCAAAGACCCAAACTCAAACGTCCATTCATCACTACAGT